TGAACGGGATGTAGATTACATCAGCCACATTAACAAATGACCATATGGTCAGGACTTCACAAGACTCAGACAGGAGCCAAAGACCCCCAGGAAGAGTGGCATAAAGGAAATCAGAGTTTGAATCTCAGAGATATTTCGTAACTTCTGTATCTTATTATACTGTGAATTTGGCAGACTTGGTAAGATGCACTGACTTTCCTACATACTTAGGAAGTGAGTCCAGGCAGATGCATAGACACAGAGAAAGCAGAGATTAAGAACAGGTTGAACAAAATGCCCTTGGCATCAGAAAATCTGGGTAGAGCCGATACAAAGATAGAGTTGGAGAAAATGTTTGTGGGTGTCAAAAATTTTTAGCTGATTGTTTGGAACTTCATTACATAATAATCACACCTTAAATTTTGCTTTAGTTGATGTTCTTTATGGCGTCTCAGAATATACTATATTTCTTACATGTTCATCTTAGAAATAACGTAGGTGTGGCTGTATTCCACATCACACACATTCCCAGCTCTATATTAATCCTAGCTAGGGCTCAAAATAGGGTCAATCTGACATGATTAGACATATTACTCTTTCCTCAATCTTATGCCATAAATATATGCATTCTTAACTGCGTGATGCTTTGGGAATTATCTATGAGGACTCAACTCTGTGAAGTTTCTCATAGCATTCCACTGGATGAGAAACTGTCCATGTCAGTATTACATGCATATATTTCAATCTGATTGCTATTTACCAAATGCTCACATGAGACTAGCTTCGCATGAGAACATATTGCAAATGCCCCCACACTGCTGTTTTTCATGTATCTTACCAAGCTTCAGGCGCCATGGGCTAGACTGACGTAGAAATGGTTCCTTATCAATTAGTCAAAGTGACTGTGAAGGCACTTTTATAATTTTGTTTCCTTATGACCTGATTCTTATAATGATATGCCTTAAATTAAGAAGTATTTTTTCATATGATAAACTTGAAAACTTGGCTCTAGATTATTTTAATATGCTTTCATGTGCTTAAATTATAATATTACTTTATTCTTATTTGCAGCAGATATTTCTAAAGTAATATTTTGTTTATTCAAAATCAACAAATTCTAATTTCAAGGACAACAAAATAAATTGGAGAACTGTAATGGTGTCAAGCACCAAAAACATGATGAAAAAACTTGTCAAGACAAGTTGTTCCATTAGCTTCAGTCCCCATGGGCTAGACTGACTTAGAAATGGTTCCTCATAGAACACTTTTACACTGTTGGTGGGAGTGTAAATTAGTTCAACCATTGCGGAAGACAATGTGGTGATTCCTCAAGGACCTAAAAATAGAAATTTCATTTGACCCAGCAATCCCATTACTGGGTATATACCCAAAGGATTATAAATCATTCTGTTATAAAGACACATGCACACGAATGTTCTTTTCAGCACTGTTTACAATAGCAAAGACCTGGAACCAACCCAAATGCCCACTGATGATAGACTGGACAAGGAAAATGTGGCACATATACACCATGGAATACTATGCAGCCATAAAAAGCAATGAGTTCGTACCCTTTGTAGGGACATGGATAAATCTCTAAACCATCTTTCTCAGCTAACTGACACAAGAACAGAAAATCAAACACTGCAAGTTCTCACTTATAGGCGGGTGTTGAACAATGAGAACATAAAGACACAGGAAAGGGAGCATCACACACTAGGGTCTGTTGGCGAGGAACAGGGGAGGGTCAGTTGGGGGTAGGGAGGTTGGGGAGGGATAACATGGGGAGAAATGGTAGATATAGGTGATGGTGGGAGATGGAGGCAGCAAACCACATTGCCATGTATATACCTATGCAACAAACCTGCATGTTATGTACATGACCCCAGAACCCAAAGTGCAATATATTTATACGTATAAAATAAATTAAGAGAAAAAGAAAAAGTGCCTTATCAGTTAGTCAAAGTGACTGTGAAGGTACTTGGTGTGTCTTCATCTTATTAATATCCTAGAAGTATTTTTATTTTAGTGATATAGAAAAAAATACAAACTTGCTTTTACCTAACTTTGTTAGGAATACATGTGACACTTGAGCTGGTATTTAAGAATATATTATTAAACTGAATTTTACCTATTTGTATTTTTTAATGTAGCTGCTAAAAAACTGAGAACTTCTTATGTGGCTTGAATTTGGGTTGTGTTACGTTTCTATTGAACGACGTTGCTTTAGCCATTGGCAAGAATGAGACTAAAATCCACTCCATACTGGCCAGGGATTATAATTAGTTTGATCGTTTTTATTAACTGATACTATAGCCCTCTCACTTCGTTTTTATGAAAAATGTTTTGCCATTGGTCACTGTAGATAGTGACCGTGGCTGCATTACTTCCACTAGTGTAATTTATTTTGCTTTTATTATCTTTATTTTATTTTTACTATTTTAACCCTTTTTTTGTTTGCTTTTGACAAAGTCTCACTTTGTTGCCAGACATGAGTTCAGCTGCAGGATCGTGGCTCACCACAACCTCAACTGCCCCGGCTCAAGCAATCCTCCTGCCTGGACCTCCTGAGTACCTGGGACTACAGGCATGGGCCACCACGCGTAAATGACTAAAAGCTAAGTCATTTTCTATAAGTAATCCTTGCAAAGCAGTTTGGAAAATTATTCAGTAATGAAATTTCATTGCATCTACAGAGATTTAGCTACAATCGCCTTTATTTTCACAATTTAACAACTGACTTTCCCAGTCATCTATCGTCTAACTAATCTTTCTTACAAGAGGATAAAAAAACAATTGATTCCCATCATATTTCTCAGTTTTTCTCAACATGCATGTATGCTCAGAGAAAACATTACTTGTAAGGACTGATAAAATATATTTCATACCTTCCTTCTCAGTACTGACCTCTCGTTATAGTTTTTGTCTTTGGGAGCGTTTTAATCGTAACTGTTACATAGTGTCACGTGGAAAGGAGCCAAAGGATCCACTTCCAAGGGGGCTCAGTTATATGACAACATTTCCTTCCCAAGACGGCCTCTCTATCTTTCTCCCAGCAGGGTATGTAGGTTTCAGAAATGAGTGTTCCAGGGGGCCTGGCTAGAAGCCATTAGTCTCCTATGACCTAGCCTCAGGTCCACTCCATTCATTCTATTCGTCAAACAAGCGGCTAAAGCCTGTCTGAGCCCAGGAGAAGTGAATAAGAGCTTATCCTCTTAGTGAAGGAGTAGCGAACGATTTGTAGCTGTCTATAGTCCACCCGTAAGTTTTTTCTGATGTCATTATTTGTCCTTACATCACATGTGATATCAAAGATATTTTTGGCTATGGTAGCCTTGGGATTCCGTAAAATTCTCTACCCTCACCAGTTTGAGTTTATCTTGAACTGCTCTGTGTCTTCCCAGGTGGGAAGGAGCTCAGAGCATAATACACAGAAATGGAGTTTCACTTAAGCCAATCACAATCTGCATTGCTGTCTTCCACCATTCCTATACTAAGTGGAAGGCCGAATATTATCCAAAGGAGTCCATACCCAGATACTGTCACCAGGAAATCTTGCCACTAAGACAGAGAAGGATGGCAAGGGAGTTCCAATGGTCACCAATCTCTAGTGTACTAGCATGTCCTCAGACTAGTCTGAAAGAGAGGTAGGTTTAGATAGCAGGAATATTCATCACACAGGAAAGGCGAACGGCTTTGACACAGGCTTCCCCCAATCCTGAGTGACAGGCAGCCAGTCTCATGGGAGAGGGGTCATAAGTGCATGTTGAACAATGAGAACACATGGACATAGGGAGGGGAACATCACACACTGGGGTTTGTCTGGGGGTGGGGGGGTAGGGGAGAGACAGCAGGGGGTGGGGAGATTGGGGAGAGATAACATTAGAAGAAATACCTAACGTAGGTGACTGGGGGATGGATGCAGCAAACCACCATGTCAGGTCACATCAGAGACATATTTAAGCACACACCATGGACAAATACTCCAGAAAGAAATGTCCTATCATCTCAGCTGGTTGACTTAACATTTAACAAGCCTATTGCCTTTAACAAGGTGATCTTTTCAACCATGTCCCATGACTGACATGGTTTGAAAGATATTGACACTGTATAAAAGATCTCCTTGTTAAAGGAAGTAGACTTGTTAAAAGCTAAGTTAACTGGTTTACTTACATTACATCCAATATTCAGGTTTTTCCACACTGAAAAAAAATTCTAAGTTTATCTTTATGTAGCTATTACTCGAAACCTGTCTTGTAGCAATGGTGAAAATCTGCTTCCTATGAGGAAATGTAGGCAACCCTGAAGCTCTCATAGGATTTCCCCCACAAGCTACCTAAAAACATATTTCCTCCTCTTTCTCCACTCAGCACCTTAAAATGAGAAGCTATTAGATTTCAGCCTCAGCCTTTTCACCCACTACTTGCTTTCACTGAAGGGTTTTATTCCAGAAACTTCGTCATTTCTACATTAATGGCTTGATAATCTGTATCTCAGTCTCCAACCTCTCTCTCATATCTTCCTGTGTCATAGTTTTTCATTTGAATTTCCTTTATCTAGTTAGTATCTTTTAGCTTCTCAGAATCAATGGGTACAAAAGTGAACTCAATATTTCTTATCCCCCTCTCTTGAAAACCTATTTTTACTATTGTGATTTTCCTGATTAGATTATGGGCATAACTATACCCACTTGGACTCAACCCAAATGCCCATCAACGATAGACTGGATAAAGGAAATGTGGCACATAAACACCATGGTATACAATGCAGTCATAAAAAGGATGAGTTTATGTCCTTTGCTGAGACATGAAGCTGGAAACCATCATTCTCAACAAACTGACACAAGAACAGAAAACCAAACACCGCATGTTCTCACTCATAAGTGCATGTTGAACAATGAGAACACATGGACATAGGGAGGGACAACACACACTGGGGTTTGTCTGGGGGTGGGGGGGTAGGGGAGAGACAGCAGGGGGTGGGGAGATTGGGGAGAGATAACATTAGAAGAAATACCTAACGTAGGTGACTGGGGGATGGATGCAGCAAACCACCATGGCACGTGTATACCTATGTAACAATCCTGCACCATCCGCACATGTGCCCCAGAACTTAAAGTAAAAAAAAAAAACAGAAAGAAACACTATTTTTACTTTTACTGTCGTGATTTTCCTGATTAGATGATGGCCATAACTGTACCCATTTGAGATTCCTAATGGAAGAGACAGTATCCTGTGGCTCCTCCTTCTCTATCTACTTACATCCAATGGTCAGCTAAGTTTAGTAATTTACCTCAGAAATCACCTTAGGCGCCACAGTCCTAATTCTCCAATAATTGCTACTTAGCTCCAATCTTCATATCTCAAGCTTAGCCCATTGTCATGTTCTTAACTACTTCTTCTCTTCTCTCCTGACCTTTCTAGTCCATCCTCAACACTGAGGGTGGTATTATCATGCTAATGTACACATCTTACTCTATCAACTTTCCTAAAATTGTTTCTCTGTAACTCCAATTACCTTAGCATAGGATTCAGGGGATTAGTTACAGAATCCCTGCAGATACCAAATCCATGGATGCTCAAACCCCTTATATAAAGTGGCACAGTATTTGCATAGAACCTACACACAGTCTCCTGTATACTTAACTAATCTCTAGATTATTCATAACATCTAATACAACATACATTCTATATGGAAACACAGTTGTGTCCCTTCATGACAGGGATACATTCTGGGAAATGCCTCTTTAGGCAATTTTGACCTTGTGAGGATATCATAGCATCTACTTACACAAACACTGATGGTCTAACGTATTACAAAACTAGGCTCTGTGGTACTGCGTATTGATACTAGGCTACAAACCTGTGTACTTGTTCCTGCACTGAATACTACAGGCAATTGTAACACAGTGATAAGTGTTTGTGTAGCTAAACATATATAAACAAAGAAAAGGTAAAGTAAAAATAAGCTACTATAAACTTACGGGACCACCATTGCATATTTGGTCTGCTGTTAACTGGAACCTCATATGTGACACATGACTAGAGTTGTTATATTGCATTGTTGTGTTATTTGTTGTTTTTTCCCTAATATTTTTTATTCAAAAAATCCAAATGTGTGGAACCTGCAGATATAGAGGGCCAACTATATCCATTCACCACATGGACCCAGTAAACCTTCTAGCTTCATCATCAACTTACTCTTTCCTTCTCCAAAGCTCTGGCCAAAACAATCAACTCGCAGCTCTCATAGAGATGCATAAAGTTTCACAATTGGGACTTTACACACTTTATCTCCTCATTAATACAATGCCTTTCTTCCTGCCAACTCTAAAAAACCCCTCTCATCCCTAAAGACCAAACTCAAAATATCGTAGGCTTTATGAACCATGACCTGTCAAATAGAATTAATCATTCCCCGTTCCTGTTCCCATGCTACTAAATCGCTCCACAATGGCACTAAATAATAGTTTCCATATATAAGATTTCCCCACTAGATTAGACAAGGGTAGTGTTTTATTAATTTTTGTATGCTTACGTCATCATGCAAGATCTGACATACAGTATGAACTAAGCATTCATTGAATGGGTTAGAAAATAGCTTAGAGATTATTTAGTCCCACTTCTTTCCCAAAGTTTAAATATCATTTACGATATCCCTGGGAGATGTTTATTAGTCACCACACCAACCTTATCAAGGTCAGATAGCGCAATATTAGAAAGATGTACCATTTCATTATTCAGCCTAACATTTCAAAGGTTTTCTGTGTTAGGCTTCAATTTTGTCTCTGAATCTTCTCCTATACCCTACTCCCACTAGTCCTATTTTTATCCTCTGAAAAAACTTATAATAGAACAGTTTTTTGATATGGCAACATTTCAAGATTCAATCGATTCAACAGATATCTTTCTAAAGATATCTGCTACACCATCATTTGCTGTCTCATTAATTTAACTATTCTTAACCCCCTGGGAGGGGACACATCTCCTTATATACTTCTCCTTATGTATTTTAGTTTACTGAAATCTCCTTATGGATATATTATTCAGTTCTCAAAGTGCAATGCCAGAAACAGACCCACTCCTCCAGCTGCAGTTACAGCAGGGCATGTGCAGTAGAACTATGATATGCTGATCTGAACGTTACAGATCTTGTAATGTGGCTGCTGACTGCACATTTGCAAAACTTCTTATCTCTGTTTCTAGTTTCAATCTCCCTCAATCTTTCACGACTGATGTTGAGCCATAGTAGAACCAACTGTTCATTCTAGCCTCGACCTTTAAAGAATGCTGAGTTGCTCATGAATTATGTGTCCGTGTAAAGCTCATGTAAGATTTGGAGAGCAGTTTCCAAATCTCTCATTTACTCAGCCTAACTTGCAACTTACCTATCATCATACTTGTTCTCATCACCTTAGTATGCTTTCCCCTGGATTTTTGCACTGTTTCCATATCTACTTCAAGTCATATTTCTTTTGATGGCCACTTTTCAAATGAATTGAAAATAACTACCTTGTTACTTGTACTGACACTATTATCCATAATAGATACTGAGCATTAGATACCTTTTTTTTTTTTTGAGATGGAGTTTCACTCTTATCACCAGGCTAGTGTGAAATGGCACAATCTCAGCTCACTGCAACCTCCACCTCCCAGGTTCAAACAATTGCCAAGCCTCGGCCTCCCGAGTAGCTAGGATTACAGATATGTGCCCTCACGCCCAGCTAATTTTTGTATTATTAGCAGAGATGGGGTTTTACCATGTTGGCTAGACTGGTCTTGAACACCTGACCTCAGGTGGTCCACCTGCCTTGGCTTCACAAAGTGCTGGGATTAGAGAAGTGAGCCACCGTGCCTTGCTTGCGTTACATACTTTCTATGTGCTGGATCTTACCATAGGTACTTTAAATAAATTATCTGGATTTGAAAGGAAAATTTTTATAAAATATGTTTAATCAGAATTGAGGTAAACACCATACTTAACGTGTGAGCGTTCAAAGTCATGTCGTTTTTGGCAAATATTTATCTGTCTTTCATTGTTCTCCAGGATTCAGAACTCATAATTCTTCTTTATCTTCTAATTTATATTCCCTTTAATAAGTTGCAGCCCTTTAATCTGAAATCTTGCTTTCATTCTTTGCTTTCTTTGTAGGTAGAATTTACATAATTTGAATATTTCAGGTCTATTAATGCTGAGCATGACTGTGGCCGAACTCTATGTGCCAGGGGGTTAAAATTTCCTGCACCCGGTGGGAGTGTAAATTAGTTCAACCATTGTGGAAGACAGTGTGGCGATTCCTCAAGGCCTTAGAAATAGAAATTCCATTTGACCCAGCAATCCCATTACTGGGTATATATCCAAAAGTCTGTAAATCATTCTACTATAAGGGCACATGTACACGAATGTTCATTGCAGCACTGTTTACAATAGCAAAGACCTGGAATCAACCCAAATGCCCATTGATAATAGACTGGATTGGAAAAATGTGGCACATATACACCATGGAATATTATGCAGCAATCAGAAATGATGAGTTTGTGTCATTTGTAGGGACATGGATGAATCTGGAGAACATCATCCTCAGCAAACTGACACAAGAACAGAAAATGAAACACCGCATATTCTCACTCATAGGTGGGTGATGAAAAATGAGAACACATGGACACAGAAAGGGGAGTACTAAACACTGGGGTCTATTGGGGGGAAAAGGGGAGGGCCAGTGGGAGGGGGAGGTGGGGAGGGATAGCCTGGGGAGAAATGCCAAATGTGGGTGAAGGGGAGAAGAAAAGCAAAGCACACTGCCATGTGTGTACCTACGCAACTGTCTTGCATGCTCTGCTCATGTACCCCAAAACCTAAAATCCAATAAAAATTAAAAAAAAAAAAAAAGTTCCTGCACCCAAACATCCACAGCCTCTGTGAACTCACCAGAAAATCAGTCTTGTGTGTTGCAATATACCAAGAGCTCACCTAAAGAAGACAGTATCACCGTGTAAGAGCAATTTGCATACTTTTTCAAATTTAGGGTAACAGTTGCATTCGTTGTTTATTTCTTTCTATTTATTTCCTGACACTTCTTGTATTAAAATTTGCTACAGAATTAGTGTTGAGAGCAGGGCTAAGTCACAACACAGATTGTGGAATGATTTTTAAAAACTTATCTTTCACTGGCATATCACATATTTATTTTCATGTTTTATTTTTTCTTTATCTTCATTGTATTTATATTTTCTTTGTCAATTTCTATTCACCTAAATAGATTTAAGGCACTCTTTTGCTTATTTCTTTACATAAAATAGCTACTCATTAATACATAGTGGTAATAAACCCCAAGATTATTCAAACTGTACCAATTTCCATCCTTCTCTGTCTAACTTATGTCATGCAAAGGGCTGAAAGTGAGACAAAGCAGGACACTTTAAGAGAAAAAAAAAAAGAGCTAGTGTGGTTACATATAATGTAAACTTATATAAGATTAAAAATCTGGGGCCAGGCACGGTGGCTCACAACTGTAATCCCAGCACTTTGGGAGGCCGAGGCGAGCAGACTGCCTGAGCTCAGGAGTTTGAGACCAGCCTGGGCAACACGGTGAAACCCTGACTCTACTAAAATACAAAATATTAGGCAGGCATGGCAGTGTGTGCCTATAGTCCCAGCTATGTGGGAGTATGTGGCAGAATTGCTTGAACCCAGAAGGCAGAGGTTGCAGTGAAACAAGATTGCACCACTGAACTGCAGCGTGGGTGACAGAGCAAGTTATCTATCTCAAAAGAAAAAAAAAATCAGCAAAACCATTTCACTACAAGCCATAAATCCTAGAGGGAAGACTTGAAACTTCAGGGAACTGGGAAGTTAATAAAGCCTTTAAGCACAGACAGGGAAATTTGTATTTTAGAAGAATAGCTGGTGTTATGATATGAAAAAACATACCAGAGGCAAGGCCAGAAATGAGTAGGCTGGCTAGAATTGTTTCTAGTAACAAAGGTGGGAAATATTTTATGACTTACAGTGGCAGTAGAGATAGACGGGAATATATAGGTCTTTGAATCAATCAATTATGTCTGTAGGTCAAGGAGAAAGGCAGAAAATGGGCCCCTGATTTCACACCTTAGGCAAATAATACTATGAGAAATAGGGCATTAAATAGAAAAAAAGTTTTGGAGTTGCTAAGAATTCACATTTGTAAGTGACCAAAAGGAGGCTCTAAGAGTCACCCTCCAAGGGTAGAAATCAAAGCAGTTCGATACTTCATCTCAGTTCAGAAAAACATATTTAGAAAAAGATATAGATTTGGAGAAAATTTGTAAAACAGTTTATGAATGTGCACATATTTTGCATTAGATACTCCTGAGAACTGGAGAAAGTGACACCTATAGAAACCCAGAAGCATCGCCAAGCAACATGGGGACAAAAGTGTGGACCATCAATCTATGGTGTCAGCAATCAATGCCATTGCATGGTGTTTTGTCTCAAATGAAATTTGCAAAGAAGGGAAAGTGGACTATAATATTTATCCCAATGTGGGGCTTAGGTGTGACAAAAGGCAGAGGGGCATGGGAGTTGAAATTCTGACATGAGAATATTGAAAGTGGTGTTTCATGGGTTGTAGAAAAGAGAAGAGGGCAAGGAAAGACAGGAGAGGACCGATAGCTAGAGACAGTAGAAAGGTCAAGAAAATGGAACACTCAATGAGCATGTAGAATGAACTAAGAGTCAGAGGTTGTGCTGAAAGAATAAATGAGTTTTCAGTGTCAAGAGTGCAGCTGCTTTTGGTGAACACACGGTTCAGAACTTTGCCATAGGAAGGGTTGCTGACAGACAGCTAGATGAAGGCATTGAAAGGTTATGGCTATTATTCTGGGCCCTAAGTTTTTGCAGCTGAGCAGAACTACTGGAAAGTCAGTGGATGAAAACTATAAGATGAGGAAGAAGATATGATTGACAAATAGGAAGATTATACAAGAGCAGACTTTGGAGACTGGAGGGGGAAGGCTGTTCGTGTGCTTGCTCTTAATCTGAAAAAAAAAAATCAATATTTGTCCAAAAGTTGCACTGGGAAGAGAAAGGAATGCTGATGGTTCTCATGTCACCTGCTGGTCCTGACGTTCGTAGCACAGTGGAGAACAAGCAGCCAACACTTGTAGGGACTACAGGGGACAGTCCATCTTTAGAGTCAGCTTGGTTTCACTTACTGCCAAGAAGCAAATGGTGTGTTCAGTTCTGAGAGTAAGGACGTAGGGAAGCTGTGTGCCACTGGATGACTTTGGGGTTCCAGTGGGCAGAGTGTGCAAGCCTGGAAGAGAAGGGTGTGGAGGGGGCTGTGTCCGTGGAAAGCACCTTGCAGTACAGAGATGAAAGCAGAGGGAGTCATGGGGGCTTACGTTTTTGTTTTGACAAAAAGACACCTTAAATATGTTGACATCTTTAACATCATGGTGTAATTAGCTACCCTCAGGGTTTCTTTCACTCAAAATGCATGGTCTGAATGGTCTGTGGTTCCCGGTAATCATGGGTTAAAGACCAAACAGCAGCCCCTGGTGGAGAGGGGTGGTAGTGAGGCAAAAAGGCATGGAGTTCTCTGGAGGAAGACAATCAGAATACATGATGCCTCTTAGACAGCTGCTAAGTAGTAGAGAAGGGCTGTGAATCCATCTCATTTGAAAGTCATGTTATTCTCTTTTTGTTTCACTGCACTGTCCGTCTCAAATTTTATAGACAAGAAATGGATATCCCACCAGCCCTTCCTTAGAATATGGGGAAAATTAATAAACTTGAATACACACAACAAGAGACCAGAGACATCAAGGTAAGGATCATGGATAGTTCTGACAGGAGGAGTCAGCAATCTAATTAGGGAAACAGGCAGAGGAGGAGAAAATGCTAAGGAGGAAATATGGGTTTCAAAAATCAGAAAATAAACACCATTAATTTGATTCAAACTGTGACCCTGAGGTTAGCGGAATGTTGGAACAGCGGGTCAGACATGCCTTTAGTTATGGTGGGGTGGAAAGCATATTTTACTTGGTATCTAAAATTAGCAGTTCAACTTCCAGCCCTTCTTGCCACCATATGTGTGATTCTGAGTGAATGACTTTACCTCTTTCAAGTTTCTCTGAACTGAAGCTTGTTTACAGAACAAGGATAATGTTTGTTGCAAAACGTGTCATGAAAAATAAATGAGAAGCTCCTTTTTCTCATGGCAAAGGTCAAATCTGTAAAATCTGACAAATTAGAGGCTCTCCTCAACAGTGATGTCATCATCTTCCGGTAATCATTTATTCCTCATGTACACAGTTGCTAGGTTAATCTCTTAGCCGAATACCCACCTACGCGGATTCATTTCATCCAGACCAAAGTCTTTCTTGGTTTGATTCACAAAGTCTCTCGCCTAGTGAATCCCTCTCTTTCTCGCATCCTATTTGTAAACAGAAGTGCTTTGTACCAGCTATTTTGCTTTATTTGCTGCCTGTTAAGCACACATGAACTTTCATCTCCAATTATTTTTCTCACAGCAATTTTGTAGCAAGAGAAGAACTCAGACCACAAACTCAGTTTTCAGGAAGTTTAGCTTGATCATACCCAGGTTTAATTTTCTTGAGATTTTATCCAGGTAGAGTTAGAAACTTGATCTCAGTCAAAATGCTTCTCTCACCTCCTAAAGCACACACATTTTCTCTAGTCCTCCCTTCCAAAATGTGTGTGTGTGTGTTTCTATTCAGGGTTTCATCTACTTTCCAAGGAAATTCATCTGGTTTGGGTAATCACCTATGCAAACTAGAACTCTCTCATCTCTCATCTCTCATCTGTCTATCTGGAACTGGTCCTAGATGGTTCTTTACTATTTCATGCCACCGAGGGAAGGTTAGAAGTTCAGGTCTGCTAGGGCACTGGGAACTCTATGCAGCCTTCTCAGGCCCATCAGCTTCAACATTCCAACCCCTTTTGGCTCTGGGATTGTGTTATGTTCCCAGGAAATTTTTACAAATATAACCATGGGGTTGTTCTGTTTTTAGATACCCTAAACACAGGATGATTTGTGGAAGGGACACTCCCTTCCCCCCAAGTGTCTACTCAAGTTTTGATTCCCACCTATATCCTTCACACTTCACAGTTTAGGATAATTTTATCAGAGCTGATGGTTGACAACAGGATTGTGTTAAATTACTCCTCTCTTTCTTCTCACAAATGTTTTGACTTGGATGTAAATGCTGGATTTTCCTCTCAGGGCTAGAATTTTGAAGCAGCCTCTCTTTTTGATGTTATTTTATATTATGTTGTTGTTATGTTGTGTTATGTTATGTTATGTTATGTTATGTTATGTTATGTTATGTTATGTTATGTTACGTTATGTTACGTTATGTTATGTTTGTTATGTTATCAAGTCTCTATGAGACGGCTAAGCTTGAAATTAGAAATACAGCATTAATACTGGAATGGGCCATTCCATGTAGCAAACCCTAATGTGAGGATTCACTTTGCTTTATAAGGGAAGTCGGAGGGAGGTGGTCTCAGTCCTTGTCGTGTGGTAGAGAAGTAAACATGGGTGAAGTGTGGTCCACAAGTCATCAGGTCTAGGATCATGCACTTATCAAAAGCATTAAGGTAACTGACAGAAAAAAAATCTCAGCATTTTG